GTATATATATATATATATATATATATATATATATATATATATATATATATATATATATATATATATATATATATATATATATATATATATATATATATATATATATACGGTAAGTCTAAAATGACACCAGTGCTACTGGTGTCATTTGCTTACACCAGTTCGTTTGGGGTACCTACGGTTCTCCGTTTGTAAAAACGACAGTTCCTACCCCTCTTAACCCACCCCAGCCCCACCCCAGCCCCCCCTCCCGCCCCCTCCCTACCCTGGCAGTACACTGCCAGGCAGTGTACTGCCAGGGTAGGGAGGGGGGCGGGAGGGGGGGCTGGGGTGGGGGGTTTATGGGGAGGGGTAGGAACCGTCGTTTTTAGAAATGGAGCACCGTAGGTAACCCAAACGAACTGGTGTAAGCAACTGATGTATTAGTAACTGGTGTCAAATTACATATGGTAATTGTGAAATTACGTTTTCCCGTCCAAATTACGTTTTCCCGTCCAAAGAGTATAGCCATTACAAATGGTAATTGTGAAGTTAAAATGGTAATTAATAAAATGATATTAAGCACGCTATTAATGAAATTTAATTAATTACTGTGTCAAATTAATTATAGTAATTTTAGTTATAGTAATTTTGATTAAAATTGTATATTACGTGTGATTATCATGGCAAATTAATTATAGTAGTTAAATGTTAATTACCGTGTCAAATTAATTATAGTAATTTTAATTATAGTATTTTTAATTAAAATTGTATATTACGCTATTAATGAAATCTAATATTATGTGTGACTACATAATTGTATATTAATTACCATGTCAAATTAATTATAGTAATTTTAATTATAGTAATTTTATAAAAATAATTTTATAATGGCTATAATTTAATTATAGCGGCTATATTTTATATTGGCTATATTTTACTATATTTTAATTATAGAAATTTTAATAAAAAAAGGTAATAATTAACCAAGGTATTAATTATATAACCATGTGACTACATAATTGTATACTCCATATTAATTATTGTGTCATTTTAATTGTAGTAATTTTAATTATAGAAATTTAAAATATAATATATTAAATACTTTAAATATAGCAATAGTAATTTAAATTCGTTATAGCACTTTGAAAATGAATAATTTTTTTAACCCCGTATGCAAAAATCATATTATGAATACATCCATTTACAAAGCTTTCATAGTCATTACATTCATCGTGAATTTTTTCCCCTACGTTTTAAAATTGTCATTCCTACGAAAAAATGAGGATCTTAACTCCTTTGAAAAATGTTGATGAGAGGTAATCAATGTTAATGACGAAGCTACGAGCAATTAGGGTTTATCACAGGTTTCCGTAACAATAATCCAACATGTTTTAATCATGGACAACTGTATGTTGCAGTTTCAAAAGTAACTAATCGTAGTGGGTTGAAAATTCTAATATGCAATAAAGACAATGTTCACACAAATTGTACAAATAATATAGTCTATACAGAAGTCTTTCTAAGTTTGTAAATTAGTGATTTTTTGTACCTTAAAATAATATAATCTATATATTCTATTGCATCTCATTTTTTATCATTAAAAAATGATTTGAATTTAATAACTTAAAATGACATGTGCAACGCACGGATGTGATACTAGTATGTGTGTGTGTGTCTATATATCTATATCTATATATATATATATATATATATATATATATATATATATATGTATGTATGTATGTATGTATGTATGTATGTAGCATTTAATTAAAAAAATATAAAAAAATACACACACACAAATATCTCTGTGTGTGTATGCATGCATGTATGTATCTATACTCCTATACAAAATTTGGAAATTAAAAAAAATACCGTGTGAAAAAAATGTTTTCCCGACCATGATTGGGCAAAATCTGGCCCATACATCTCCAATCACTGATAAATGTTGGGCTAGTATTATTCCTGGGGTCTATCGAGTTCATTTATTGCATTAATCGTGTACATATTAAAAAAACTTTTCATTTGACTACACATTAATATTTACTTAGCCAATGACTGTTTGAATTACCAATGATTCGAGCATCTCAAGAAACCATTGTTATATAAACCATGTACATATTCAATGTTTTGAAAGCATAAAAAGTACTCCGTATACTATAAAAAGTTTGTTGCTCCTTTTTTCGAATCCCAATAAAAAATTCCAAAAAAAAATTTAGGATTATAAACATAAATTGCAGAAATTAGATCTACACATTCGAAACCATATGCATGTCTAGAATGAATTAATTATTTAAATCTAAACACTTAAAAATGAAATTCAAAGGGAACTGTTATAGATCTAACATATTTAAAAAAACATGTTCCTCTTTACATCTCGAAAAATTAAACATCGTGTAACTTTAAAAAAAACACCAATATTTTAATATAAAAAAGAAATCAAAATTACAAAATAAATCAACTGAAATCAGAGAAAAAATCTACATCTCTATGCAATATTTCAAAGACTGCGTAGGATTTTTGATCTGTAGATTGATAACACAAAACTAAGATTTACAATCTATAGGATATAGAAGACAAATTAAAAAAGGAAACGAGATGAATATGAAAAAAACCAAACTTGATGGAAAGAAGAGATAGAGAAAGAGGAATGACGGAACATAAGGAGTACTAAAACATTACTTATCCCCTTTAACTTTTTCGAGTCAAACAGAATAAAATTTTATATTTCAATTAAATAAAAAATCGTAATTTATTAAAAAAATGAATATGTTTCATTTACTGTAATTTTATAATTTATACTCTCTCCGTTCAAAAATATTGGGACGTTATGACTTACGTGGAAATTTAAAAAAAGATTTTTTTGTGTTGAATTTTTAAAAATCCCTTTGATGGGATAAGTATAAGTAAAATATGATATGTAGATTATTAATAAAAAAATTATGATGTGATAGGTATGGTATTAAAAAAGTAAGCGGTAAAGGTGGTTTTTTAATAAAAATAAAAAGGAGTTTACGGGGCGTACTTTTTGAAACGGTAAAGAGATTTTGGGACGAATGGAGTATAAGTTTTATATTTTTGTATTTAACATATAAAAAATTCTTGGTAAAAAGTTTTAAAACCATTTATCAAAGTTTTTTTAAAACAAAATAATCAATTAATCTTTATCGTTAACAGGTTCTACGCATAATTCTTTGAAAAATATGCACACGTCCCAAAATTATACGTTTGGCAGCTCATTCAATACAAGGAAGAATTTTGACGGGTACAAATATGGGCCAAGAAGTAGTGATCCCACGATTATCATTAACTCCTTCAGACTAACGAATTCCTTTCAAGTTTCAAAGAAGACAGTTTCCGATAATGGTTTCTTATGCAATGACCATTAAAAAAAGTCAAGGCCAATCATTGTCTCACGTAGGACTTTTTCTCAAGAAACCTATTTTCACTCATGGATAATTATACGTTGCAGTCTCAAGAGTTACAGATCGTAGGGGTTTAAAAATACTAATATGTGATGAGAATGGCGAACTAAAACGTTTAACAATGAATGTTGTTTACAAAGAAGTATTTCATAATTTGCAAATATTTTGGCAATGACTTCTGTACTCATTTTTCTTACAATTTTTTAATGTGAAAAAAATCATCTCATAAATATCGATTCAGAGTATAAACATATATTAATGTATACTACAGTAAGATAACTTAAAAAATGTTTATTATTAAAATTCAAAACAGACTTTTGTCCGTGCAACGCATGGGGGTATGATTCTTGTGTGTGTGTGTGTGTGTGTGTGTATGTATGTATGTTTATGTATGTATGTATGTATACACACACACACACATATATACATGAAAAATAAGATTTAATGAAATAATACTTCCTTTATCTATAAATAAAGAATTTATGATGTATTACTAAATTTATAAGCAATTTAATTATTTGAGTAGAAGCATTAAATTAAAACAAATGAGTATTTAAACAAATTAAAAAAATTATAAATTAAGCGGTGATATTTTTTGTTTTATAATTTACACAATTTTTTAAATTATTCAAATAAGTTAATAGTTTTGTGATATGAAGTTCATATAAGCATCAATTGCATCAATATTTTAGAGTTCGAATCACAGTTTCATTTCAAAAAAAAATTATTCAAAAAGTCTTTTTAGAATATGTATAATTGTATATTTTTACGAATGTAATATATAACTAATAATGTCTATATGTAACAAAAGGGATTGTATCATAAATGCTGGATAGCTTAACAAGAGAGCAAGTTGGTCATGTGTTTGAAACCCCCACTAGATTTTACCCGTGCGATGCACGGTAAGAATAATATAATAACAACATATGTAGTAAGTAACATAAAAATAAGTCAAATAACATATAAAGTAACATTACTAATTTTCAAAGATACGAAATTCTATGTTTAAAAAGAGACATATAACATATTTACTTTCGATTCAGATAATAATAATGCTTGCAATAATTCTTATCGAAGAAAAGTGCATGATACAAATAAAAAATTAAAAACATAATTATATTTTAAAATGTTAGGGATACACCAAAATTATACCCTATTTATACACCACACACTTCTTGATGTGGATA